AGAAGAAGAAGAAGAAGAAGAAGAAGAAGAAGAAGAAGAAGAAGAAGAAGAAGAAGAAGAAGCCGCTCTAATTTGGCCTTGGTGAATCATGCACGTACTCCCAGAAGGAGGCTAGTAAGTTTGAAGACAGCCTGGGCTACATAGTGAATTCAGCTGGGGCTACATAGGGAGTTGCTATCTTAAAAAAGAAAAGAAAAGAAAAAGAAAGGAAGAGGGGGGCCAAAGACCAGAGACTAAGCAAGCCCTTATCCGACACTGAATTCCTTGTTGAGGGCACCTTGGACTTCCCACACCCAAAACAATGAGAGATAAGTCTCCCTGATTCCTGTTGTTGATAAGCTATCAGCTTATGACCCTTCATTATGGTGGACAGGGTGGACTAGCACAGAGGGTCTCTGGGTTAGACAGAACCAATCAGTCCCACTTAGGTCACCACTATCTCTGCAGCTTTAGATTCCTTAAGTGATTCTTAAGTACTGAACGGGAATATGATGTGCATTTGACTCACGGTTTGCACGTGAATTCTTGCTCCATGAGTTTATTGAGGAAAATTCTCAGCATCTAGCACAGCCTCCCCGTCCCTCTACAGGTGCTCGATACAGGATCATGCCCTGAATGCCTGAGCAGCCCTGTCCCTCTGAGAGTGTTCTATCCAGGGCCTGTCTCCGCTAACGATAGTGACAGGCCCACCTGGAGCAGCCTGTCAGAAAATGAATATGGATTCTTAATTCTAAAACCAATTTCCAAGTGCATTCTAGAAGGGGAGGCAGAAATGAAGCCTGCTTCACAGAGTTACGGGTGCTCAATTCTAACTGATGGCAGGTGACAGGGACACGGGGCCGCCTAATGAGACCTGACCGGGGGAGTCTGTCTGGCGATCATAACAAAAGGACGTGATCGCCAAACGGTGGTGAACGTCAGAGTCTCCTTCTGGTCACTGTCATGTTTCCCTAATAACCTGGTGCACACACATATATATCTGTAACATTCAATTCCCCAGAGAACCCGGCCAACGCCGACCCCACTCTCTTGTTTTTAATAATAATATTTTCTATTTAATCTATCTTAGATTTTTTTGGAGGTTTTGTTCATGCCAAACTCAAAGGGGAAAAATTAGCATTTAGATAGGATTGCCGCAGCATTAGAAGCAATCGAAATGGAAAACGGAGGTGGGGGAGCTTGAGTCCCCTACCCCCATAGGACGACTCTGATATGACACAAGGGTTCCCAGTGAATCTCTCTCTCCTGGCTACTGTCATCAGTATACATTGGACTTTTTTTTCTCCATCTCGTAGCATGGAGTCTCCAGAGGGTCAATTTTGTTATACAAGAGTCTCCTCCAAACCCTCACTCTTCCTTCTCCAGTAAATAATCAACAAGAAGGCGGGACAGGCAGGTAGTCTTCCTGTCCCAAACGTGCATCTGTGAAATGCTCTTTGCTTTCTGACATGTCTTCAGGTTTACTTCCCTTGCTCTGGCTCCCCCTCCCCAGGAACACCCTAAAACCACCATAGTCCCAAATTCCAAATTCTCCCACATTTATAGAAATGTTCCTGCCAGGGGTGGGAAGATGGCTCAGTGGTTAAGACCATTTGTTGTTCTTGCAGAAAACCTGAGTTCGGTTCCCAGCCCCTACACCCAGCTTATCCCTTACAGCTGCCTATCCCTCTAACTTCAGGGGATCTAACACCCTCTTCTGGCCTCCTTCAGACCATGCACTCACGTAGTGGCATCCCCGAATTGCTCCAGAGGCTCTGCTTCTCCCCTTTTCTTGTGTGGGCACCAGAGACCCAAATCCTCGTTGAGTTGATGGTTCTTTACTGCTCAAGGTGGGGGTTCAGGATCCACCAGTCATGCTCAGGAGTCCCTGAAATCTGGTCCATCCCCGATGATATCTCCTGGTGGGGAACCTTAGAACTGTCACATTCGCAGAACTGTCTCGAAACTGTTAGATTGGCTAGAGCCAGAGTTTCCAGAGTTTTTGTTGCTCCGGAGCCTCTGATAAGCCAGACTGACACGCTTTCCAATTTCCCGCTGCTGCTGCTCTCGGGACTCGCCAGACCACAGGCGTGAGAACGATTTACTGCTGACTCTTGTGTGTGTTGTCCTGTCTTAGAAACCCACTGATCCGAGTCTCTTATCAAAGTTCCATGTGCCCTGCCAGTCACCCATCAGCATCTGCTTCCTCAGCGTGTGCCTGTCCTGCCCCTTTGCACCTGCTTCTTTTCCATCTTTCTCCATCCCCTGCTTCTTTTCCATGCCTGCCTCCATGTTGTTGTCCCTGATTTACTCGTTTATATGTCTCTTCTCTTGAGATGAACCTTTGGTTTTTTTTTTCCTCTTTCAGGAAGATGACTTGAACGGGATCCACATTGTGGCCTTTGCAGAGAGGAGTGACCCAGGTAGGATACCTAGCCAGCCCCCATTCCCACCCTCACCAATCTGTTTAGCCATTGGCAGGAACCGGCTTCTAAGCCCTCTCAGTATCAGTTCAAAAGCAAGAAATTGACCCCCTCTAGTGGTCATCGGGCCGGTATGAGTGAGTCTTCAGCAGCAAACTCAGCCAAGGGGACAGAACTGCAAAGACTGTCAGCCACACAGCTGGGCAGTAATCCCAGCTTTGGGGAGGAGATAGGGAGCATCAGCAGTTCAAGGTTAGCGTGGGCAACTTGTGTTGATTGTGTGCAGCTACTCAGAATAGGAATGAGCCCACAAGGAGAGCACTAAAACATCCTAGCCTTACAGGGTGTGTGTGTGTGTGTGTGTGTGTGTGTGTGTGTGTGTGTGTGTGTGTGTCTGTGTCTGTGTCTGTATGTGTCTGTGTGTGTCTGTGTGTATCTGTCAGTTTACGATTGAATCTATATAAACCAATCCGACCTTAACATAATAATAAAATACGTTGTCTTCCTCTGAAAAGCACCATGTGCGTAGGAACGGTCTAGAAAAATCTGCCAAACAGAGAGGACAGGTAGAACAAACAATCCCTTTTTAGAGTACAAGTCTCTCTACCGCCGGAAGGGTAACTTGGCTATTGTTGCACTGTGGGCAACGTTCCCTGGTTTCCATCTTATCAACACCAATGGAAAGAGAAGGGAGAGAACCGTGAATTTTATAAGAGTCAAAATGCTAGTTCCCCAAAACAGTGATCCACAAGGCAGCCTCCCAAGGGGAGGTGGAAGAGCAGATAGGAGGAGCGTGTGGGGGAGGCCTGGAACAATCCAGAAGGCAGTCAGGGAAGTCAAGGCTGGTCATTTGGGATGCCTAGCAGCCAGGCTTTGGCCATAAAGAGTTGGAACAGGGTTTCCTGAACTTGACAGCAAAGGCCCCCTTGGACTGGTTCATACAAGACCTTTAGAATCTGTGGTTTTATGGGCCTCTGCTCTGAGGCTAATCATGGTGGATCATCAAGTTTGGGACCAGTGCTCCAGAAAATGCGGAATTATATGTTTGCTAAGATCTTCCATTGCCATGGTGCACTGTTTAGAGGTTAGGACTGGGAAGTGCTAGCGTGCAGGAAGTCCGGGGCTCCGTCCACAGTGCTGCAAAAACTGGGTGTGGTGGTGTGGGCCTGTCATCTCGGTAGAAGTAGAAGGATCAGAAGTTCAAGACTATCCTCAACCATATGTCAAATCCAAGACTAGCCTGGACTCCATGAAACCCTGCCTCAAATCTAACAAGCAAACAAACAAAACCCAAAACACCTTAAACCCAAAACTAGCCAGCCAACCAACATCAACAAAGCAGATCTTAGCTTCAGACAAAGATACAGAGACTCAGAGAAGTTCAGCCCAGTCTAAGGGAACACAAGGGTGCTGGGAAGAAAGGACCTATTGGCTTACCCATCAGTGCAAGCCTGAGTCCTCAGTGGCTTGACAGGGCAGGTGCCCTGCAGATGTTTACGGAGCAAGTAGTTAGACCTTTCTTAATGATGTGATTCTGGAAATCAACGCAATGTATGCCCTATAGCAGCCACTCTTTAAAGCTAGCTAGAGTGGGGATTTTATCCTCACAAGGCGGTGCAGGTCAGCACCATCTCATTCCAGCCCTTTACCAACAATACCCATTGACAGTCATTCCCATTACCGACCCTCTCCACAGGTGGTAACCACCAATTGCATACTGTCTGTCTAATTATCTGTTCTGGACATTCCATATGAATGAAGTCATCTGGCATCTTGTCTTTAGCATAATGTGTGTGTGTGTGTGTGTGTGTGTGTGTATATATTCCCACTATATAGTATCTATCTTGACTATCTTTTTTTTTAAGATTGAGTAATGTTCTATTGCATCAAAGGCAAATTGTTTGAGAGCTAGTCTCTTAAGTATCCATTGCTAGGCTGAATTTTCCACCATAGACTTGCAGAGCTGAGAATCCTCCTCAAGTATTTCTGGGATCTAGACTTGTTTTTTTTTTTTTTTTTTTTTTGTCCTGTAGTGTCAGCTGCTTTTTTACAGATCCTGGCTACCCTCAGCCCCCAGGTTTACAGGCTATAATCAGACAGAATCGGATCCTTGGTGTTGTGTGATCAGAGTTGCTGCTGGCAGCTGCCTGCTGGCAAGACTCCAGGGGGCTTCCTTGCAGCCCCACTGCCCCCTCCCAGGGTGGCAAGGAGGCCTGTCTGGCTGTCTGGAACAATAGAACAAAGAGGTCTCCCTGAACTGCAGAAACCTGTTTGACAGAGATTGCTGCCCTAATGAATCAAGCTTCTACAAGGACTTCCACCTCCTCCCAGTGCAAACACCCCTGGGCCCTGAAGCTCTGCCTTCTCTCCAAATCCCAAGCTGGGGCTTGTCCCTGGGGAACAGAGCAACTCTGGGAGGGGAGGTCAGGAACGTGATCTTTCAGAGGCAGGGGCCGCCTTGGCACCCAGGGCTCTAACCAAAACGGGGTTCTAATGAAAGTCCCTGACTTTGGGGTCAGTCAGCGTTTACCTGCTGGGCAGTGAGGTGCAGCTTGGGGCCCAAGGCTGGGTTGAGATCCTGGAGGGTGCATTCCTGCAGCTGGTTACTCAGATTCCTATGGTTTGACTAACAGGTCGCTAGAAGGCTTATCTAACCAGACTGCACCCACTTTCTGAAAGAGGGAGGTGGTGGGTCCAGGATAGCAGTTGCTTCTTAGAGAAAGAATGTATGCATTGAGGAGCTGTGAGGAAACAGCCACGTTAATCCCGAGGCCACTCTGTGATCCATGTGTGCAGGTTATTATTATCAACCTGGTGTTAGGGGTGGAAGTGAGCTGTCAAGGCTCCCTGACTGGACCACATTGCCCAGGGTCTCTAAGTCCAGGCCAACCTTGCAGCCAGCCCTCGTGACGTCCAGATGCATCAGGAGTATGACGAAGGTGGCCATGATGGCCATAACTGTCACAACAACCCGACAATGAAAGTTTAATTGTTATTCTCCTTTTACAATTGAGGATGCAGAGGCCAAGGGAGGTTACCAGGCTGGGGAACAGTGGAATGAAGTGAGGGTTGTCTGGCTTCCCAGTCCACACCCTTAACCACAAGGCAGGCAGACTTCTGTGCCTCTCTCAGGCGGCATCTGACATCCAGGCAATCATTCAGGGTGCCTCCCTCGTTCTCCACCCCTCTGCCTCCAACATTTGACCCGCAGGAGAACAGAGACGCAGCCAGTTCAGTGCTGTGCACAAAACACAGGGCTAGAGGTACAGCAGAAAAGTGGGTTTATCTTTGCTGAGGGCTCCTCGTGGGTCCTCTTTTTGATAGCCCTTCTCAACAGCGACCCAGCTGCTGGAGGCTGCAAGCTTGTGCGGTGTTGCTGCAGGGTGGTGCGGAAGGGGCCAGGGCTGGGAGATCAAAAGATCGTACCAAGGAAGTGAGACCCAAGCCGAGTCACTTGGCAGCATGAGGGTCCCGTGAATAACAAGGCATCCTCCTAGGGCCCACAGAAGTTACTTAGGCAGACTGTGAACTTCCTGGACAGCAGCAGCATTAGTCTCTTCAGTGTCCTGGCCCCCAAGAACTCTCCTTACAGCCAGAGTTTGTGTTCCCCTCAGCAGAAGGTTGAGCACAGGAGGGTCTCCCTGGCAGGCATCTATGTCTGCTCTCTGGCCCTATATCATGACCTGGAGTCTTCACTTGTTGTGAGCTTCCCTGGCCTGGCTGGGAAGGATATTAGGATGTTCTCGCTCCCTCCATCCATGCCAGCGGCTCGTTGCACCTCACCATCCTCTGCCCACATCTTTTCTTAAGCTGCTCAGAGCAGAGCTGCATGGCAGGTTTGCAAAGGAAAGAGTCCTCCTCGCTGCTCCCAGATGCGTCCGCATTGGGCTGACATCTTCTTTACGATATTTGATGAAAGGTTTGCTGAGAGCAGTTCTACATGAGTGCGCGCTGGATGGAAACCCTCTAAGGGCATTGGGAATATTCACACTAACAAGCTAGAAACACAAGGATGGCTGCCGTCTGCAAGCCCTGAGCAGATTTAGCAACAGGCCCTGGAAGGAGGCTTCAAGCCCTGCTGCCCCTGAGCTTTTCCTGCCCTGGGGTTCTTGCAAAAATGGGTTAGAGACCAATTGTCTCAAATAGGAGCACTAAGTGCTTCTTGGAGCTCTATAATTTAAATTTGATATATCAGCCTCACTATTTGACTATTGCTGGGTGCTGAATGCTACTTGTAAGCCCAGCAAACACCAGCTCTGAAGATGGGAACGGTTACTCCATATTCTCCAGTATATAGAGGAGGGGCACAAGTACGGTGAAGTTAAACATCATCCCCAGCTCTCATGAATACTAAGTGGTAGAGCTGGGACAATGACCCAGCAGTCCAACCCTCTATCTATCTCCATGTGTCTCTGAATTGTGAAAATGTATCGCTTGACTTTCTCCCCACCAATTCTGGGATCCAAAGAGCAAAAATGGCAGGACCTGCTTCAAAGCCACGGGCCCCATGGCGTCTTTGCTTCTGAGTGGCTGTCTCACTGCAGTAGAAGTTCTTTGAAAAGGGGGGGGGGAGGGGGGAGACTCCCAGCCTTGTGACCTCCTCACGGTCTTCGCACAAGACCCAAGTCTGGAGAATTCTGCTTTTGGAGAATTCCATACAACCAAGGACCCATGGAGCTTTCCCTGGGGTTCTTGTAATTTATTCGCCTATGCGTCTCAACTTGGCTCTGGGTCTGAAGCACATAGAAACTCAAAGGCATGCCTAAGAAAAAAAGAACATCCTTGAAGGCAGCCTCCACGCTGGGTGATATTCACCTCTGGCCTGCCTAGCTGCCCACTTCCACGTGGACAATGGCAGGAGGCCACTGTAGGGCCACAACTTTCCTAAGCCCAGGCAGAAACCCTTCGGTCCACAGCTGTGGAGTCAGGAAGAGCATCCTCAGTCTCCATGGCCTGAGCACAGCCAGCAGCCAGGAGGAGGCTGCGAGGAAGGGGCAGTCTGGGCAGCACCATAGGCCTGTTTGCTCCTGGGCCGTAGCTCAGCCTTAGACACAATCACATCTGCAAATGGGGCCTTTCTCTAGATGACTGTGAGTGACCTAGACCTGGTCCCCTAGGGCCTGGTGCAGGCCTGTTCTCACCAACCTCTGCCAGGGAAGCAGGAAAGGATAATGACCGGGTTCTCGTCACACAGGGATGCAATTCCCAGAGGCCAGTTGCTTGTCGTGGGAAACCTGGCTCCACACTCTTTCCCCAGCCCTCGGTCCTGAACTTCCAGACCTGCAGTCTAGGGGCTGGGAAGGGCCTGCCGTTCTCACAGCCTTCTTTATTTAGGCCATCCTGGAGACTCTGAGCTTACTTAAAGCATCACTGGGGTGACCCCACAGACAGGGCAGGCCTCAGGAACACGCTCAGAAGCAGGACAGGAGCTTTGCTCCAATTTCTCTCAGAAGGGCAGAGGCAGCCCATCCCCACTCCCAGGAGAGAGGCCACACTGCATCTCCTCCCTCACCTGGCCTGTACCTTCCTGAGGACAAAGTTTCACATCCAGGGAAACTCAGGTACAGAAGCAAGGAAGGAAGGTGGCAGCTCTGTGGTGGGAATACCGAGACCTCAGAGGGAGGAGGAATAGTAACTGGCTGTAGGTGTGTAGAGTTCGACTCCTGGCTCTGCTGTTTACTCATAGATGGCAGGGACAAGCTGCCTCCTTCGAGCTCTCTGAAAAAATGAAGGTAGTAAAATCCTCCATGCAGCCTAAATGGGAAGATGAAATGCCGGTATCCTCAGGACCCAGTGAGTGCTCAGTGCAAATGCCCCTGAGAGGAAGGCTGAGTGGCAGACAGCAGACAGCAGACTCTGCGTATAAAGAGCAATGCCCAGTGTCTGTCAAGAAAGAAGCTAGTGTAGAAATGGAGATTTGTGCCTCTTAGGATCAACAGCTCCGGGACCAGACTTTAGGAGGGGCAGAGGGACCTACTCTGGAAATAAAAGGGAGAGACAGAGGATTCTGGCTGGGGCTCTTCACCAGCCTGGTTACTGGGGACATTAGGTCTCCTCTTTGGGTGATTCCCTGGTAGCCTAGTCCTCCAGTGCCTACGCTAGACAACTTCAAGCCTAAGAGTCTATAGCTAGCCTTCTCCTATCTATCTATCTACTTAGTACAGATTATGTTCTCTTCGCTTTGAAAGGTAGTCTGTCACAGTCTAAGGCCTCTGAGCTAGGTCACTGATACAGCAAATACTCATTTGATCCTTCCTGGCTCAGTTGTCTCCAGCTGTGTCCCAATCGTGTGGGACTTGATGAAGCTTTGTGCCTTTAAAGTCAATTTTATCCATTTTGTTTGGGAAGAAATGGTTTTTGAGTTTTCCTTGCTTTCCCTTCATGTAAAGAATATTCTCTTTACACACACACACACACACACACACACACACAGACCCATACACACACACAATCTTTAACATGGAAATAAAGCCACGTCTATGAATTCTTTTGGTTAATGCAGATTTAAATGTATTTTTTTTTTGCAGAACCCATTTTTTTTACTCAATCTACCTTTTTCTTTCAATCACTGAACCTGCTCTAGGATAGAGACAGCAGGGGTGGCGTGATCTTGTATGTAATGTTCCTTCAATGAGATCTCAGCATTACGTGAGCTTTTCCATGAGAACACAGCAGCATCTGTAGGTCTGGTCATAGGCTGGGCCTTCTGCAACCTTGGCATGGGAATCTCTGCTCTCCCTCCAGGAGACCCAGTCCACGTTTACTCAGCTTGAATGTGGTCTGTGTTGTTGGACCTCACCCTCTTTGTGATTTGTAAAACCTGTCCAGGTCCCTTTTCCCATTTTCATTTCATCTTGCAGAGAACTGGCCATGTCACCTCAATTATTGTCCTTTTCTTCTCCATGGTGTGAAGTCATAATTGTCGGTGTCTGGGAGGAATTCTCTCTTCTGGTCTATGCATTTGGATCCACAAATCCACAAACAACTCTCCCATGAATCCCCTTATTTTCCTCTGCTGAGAAATGACCACAGGGGCCACAATGTACCAAGATGGCAGCAAGGACATTTGAGGCTGGAGGAGAAAAGCTTGGCTTTCTCAATGATGCCAACATGCAGGAGATAAGAAACACGCTTTTCTCATCCCCACCCTCCAAACAGCAAATACGTGGGCTCTAAAGCACAACCGCTATGTTTGTACAGAGGATGTGAATCTCAGGCCACAAACTCAGCTATCACAGATACGTAACTTGATTGTTTAGAACCAAACTTTTAAAATGTCTCTTTTGAGCTGTATGCTACTGCCTGGTAGGAGCAGGTCCTACAATTGGTCCTCTAGCCCCACCCAGTCACTGCGGTACCCACACAGAGCTGGGTGGGGTCACAGTCATTTGTACATACTGGCATCTGTTGAGAAGTCTGTTGTCCTGTTGCCTCTGTGGTTCTTGTTCCAAGCAGGTCACCACCACTGGCCCTTTCCTCCCACCTGCAAGACAAAGTCATCAGATTTGCCACCATGATCTTATCTCTGCTCAGGTTCTGAGATGGACTGGCCGTTGGTGGCTCACGCAGAACTTTCTTGCATAAGTGCTAGGGGACTTGCTAAGAGAGCTTCCCTGAGTTTTTTTTTTTTTCATTTTCCTTAATTTAACTGTTTAACAAAATATTAGTTCTCTTCTGGATTCCCTGAACTTCCAGAGAGTCTTCTGTGACGTATGTTCCTCACATGTATACAAACACACACACACACACACACACATACACACAGCGTTTTTTTGATCAGGAACCTGCCAGGTTCAGACCACTTGTCTCTGCTCTAGTTCTGTGGGGGGGGGGTGTTCAGGATTTTCAGTATCACTTACTGAATGTTCTTGCAAAATTTTTGCTTATGGAAAAAAGAACTGTGTGCTGCAGGGCTCAGGCTCAAAGTGCGGAAGGCCTGCCCCTGCTTTTCCTATGATTCATCCCCTCTCTGGGGCAGAGAATATTGCTGACAGAGGACAGGGAGAGCTGGCGCTACCAGAGCTTGTGCCGGAGTGGGCTGTGGAGCAGAGGGAGGCCGACCCAGTTTGAAGGCGTTGGGAATTCCAGGCTGTTCCAGGGCCGTAGAGCAGATGTGGGGAACCCAGGGACGGCACATGCTTGGAACACAGAATTCTTGGGGACAGGCAGAGAGCTTCCTCTGCTCTGGGACTGACCTTTGTCACTAAGGCCACTCAATTTTCATCTCCTGGTGAACAAATGAAGGTAAGTCTTCATTTAGAAAGGGGGCCACTTCCCTGTGACCTTTCAATTTCTCTGCTTAAAATTGCCCTGGCTTTCTCTGTATGAGCTCCTTTATGTCTGCGGCTCTTCATCTGACTCATTTTATAGACTCAGTCTGTAATTGAGGGTACGCACCAGATGGCCATGAAAGCCCTATGGAAAAACCATGCTCTTGTACTCCACGTGAGGAGTGCTGCATGCAATGGGTGACTCAACTTTCTTGAACCCTATTCAGATGGCTATGAGTTCCTGGAGATCCTGAAACAGGTTGCCCGGGACAACACTGACAACCCTGACTTGAGTATCTTGTGGATTGACCCAGATGACTTCCCACTGGTGAGTGGCCCAGGCCAAGGCCTCATCCCTGGTGGCCTTCACAATTCGTATTTGTGTTTAGCACAAAGTCTTCAAGTGTGAGGGACAAACTGAAAGAGTAGAAGACATCTGAAGAAACCCAGAGGCCACTGCATATGGAGTGGGTGCATAAGCTTTCAGGACAGCATTGACCTTGGCTTTATGTACTCATGGCAGTGACCAGACTTACCAGTGTCCTTACTTCTGAGATGCCAAGAGGTGACTACTCTTGGAGAGGCCCATCCAGGGGAGCTGGGAGCATTCTTTCTTTAAGCAACAATATGGCCCTTTTATATCACCACCCACCTCTCCCTGAGCCTCTAGAGACAACCTAAATTGTTAGAGAATAGAGTCAGAAGTGAACACTTTGTAGAGATAAGAACTTGATGAAGCAAAAGAACGCATTGTCTGAGGGCAGAGACCACGCCTGGCTTGCTTCTCGCAAGTTCTCTAAGACTCAGCATCATGCCTAGTACACGTGGAAGGCACAGTGACTTTACCACCCCAGTCTAATCTCTGTCAGTGAGGAAGAGCAAGAAAGCTCTAATAATTCTTAGTTTTGAACAAAGCATGCAGAATTCATGCCACATAGGAACCCAGTGATAATAACAATGCAGGAAGCTACTCCTCTACTGTAATGAACATTCTCTATTGGCCAAGTTCAATGCTGCACCAAGAGCCAGGATTCCCAACACTACATGGGGTTGAACTTGAGTCTCTTCAAGAGCCTTCAAGACTAACACATAGATACTAGATTACAGAGATTTGTTTGCAAATGTACTCATAGCTCACTCCCTAAACAGACGTTGTTACAACCCCTATCCCACTGAGAAAGGGCAATACCTGGATGCTAAACTAAACCTAGCAGATGTGGAAGTCCCACTGAGACCCATAGTAAAGTTAAAGCTTGGTCTATTGATTGCTTCTGGTATGGCTAACTGCTGGTAATTACACCAATTTGGTTGTTTTCTGGCTATGAGTTGCATAGGCAATGACTGGTTATTAGACAGAAAACACTAACGTCAAATCCTACACACACAGGGGTTGGGTGAACCAAAGGCAGAGACTTCCATAACATTTGAGGTCTATGGCACAACTCTGGGTAAACATAAGAAAGCCATGGCCATATAAGCACACAGCATTGCTTTGCTGGTTTGTTTTCTGCTGGGTTATTTCCAGTTTACCCTGACTGTCTCAGTATGCAAACTTGTAGGTGACCTGTCATTTTTTGGTCAGTTCTGCATCCATCTGGGTACTTGCAAAGCAATTTCCAGGCATTTCTAATTTCCAGATCCATAACACCAACTCCACAAAGGCCCCATATTTACTAGGGAAGCCTCTGCCCCTGAACATCTCCATTTTCTTAGCTTCATGGACTCCATTAACTCCACTGGCCTGCCCCAGCCAGAGATCTGTCCAGATGGAGCCCACACTGGGCTGAAGAAACCTGGCTTGTGTTTGCATCTTATGCCAAGTTACAGCCTATCTATGTTTTCCCAGGCATCTCATGTGACAGAGAGGCACAAGATAAGGGCTTCTAAGAATGGAACATTTAACGGGAGGTAGAGAGAAATGGCTCTTTCGTTACCCACAAGCTACCAACAAGTTATAATTTGGGGGTTGGCATCGGCCATCTTTTTGCTAGTCCCCCTGAGAGTGGTGGAAGCATTTATGTTCGATGTTGTTACAGCTTGTGTTGTGGCAACTTTTTCTTAAGGCATAAAGTGCTTTAGAGATGGAGCTAGCCTTCAATTTCCTGAGTGTCCGCAATTGTTTCAAAGGCATTCAACCAATCACAACTCGGTTACTACAGCAGGCTGGCAGGTGAGTCCAGCCCTCTGCCCACTGTCTAACCTGGCCTTTTTGTTGCTGCAGCTTGTAGCTTACTGGGAGAAGACTTTCAAAATTGACTTGTTCAAGCCACAGATCGGGGTGGTGAATGTAACAGACGTGAGTATCCCCATCAAGGCCTGATCAGGCGCTCTCAGCCACCCTGTTGGCTGTTATACAACCCCAACTATGAGATCATTCAGGAGTCTACAGCTGCAAGTAGAACTCTTGGGTCTTTCCCAAACTCTAGGAGCTTGCTGGTACAGCCCGAGCCTGGGCTCAAGCCAGTCCCGATCTTTCTCGAGGAGTGTGTTTCTTTGCTTATGGAGCTAGTCCAACCTGACTCGTTGACCTTGAACTTTCCACCCAAGAACATTCTCTTGTATTCACTTTCCAAGCCAAAGAACAAGGCCTTCTTATACAGGCAACTCATGCCTGGAGCTACCATTGCCTAAGAGAGATGGAGAGGTTGATGTCCAGAAGCCCATACTAACAGTCAGCCACCCAGTCAGGAGACCCCAACGACAGAAGTTTCAGCACGGATGAACTCAGGGTGGGAAGGGCTACTGAGGTGAACAGACAGAGTGGGAAGAAATTTAGACTCAGTCCAGACATCTAATACAGAACAAGACAGAAGCAGGGCAGATTCAACAACGTTAACAGTAAGAGTAAGGAGAAGGAGCCACAATAGAGGGCCCACTGCAGCCCAGTGAACACAGCTCTTTTTGTGAAAAAAGGCCAACTAACAAGGTCTCTTTGCTGCTGTGTGGTAAGTGTTCTCTCAATCTCTACATTTCTTGAATTTTGAAATTTGAAAGAAGATTGACTCATTCATTCATTCATTCATTTATGTGTATGCACATATACATTCTCTTGGGTAGTAGAACACCCATTTCTTTTGCTGTTATTGAAACAGAATACTGCACAGGAGTGTCCTGCAGTTTGGCATTTCCACTTGTGTATCTGTACATATCCCTGATAGGTGTGAGAGACTTGGAGGCCTACTCAGCAGAGCTCCTTAGAAAGTCCTGGTCTGTCTCAGCCTCCACCCACTCATGCCTTGGTTCATTCTGTGCGTCACTGCAGGCTGACAGCGTCTGGATGGAGATCCCAGACGATGATGACCTGCCCACAGCCGAGGAGCTGGAAGACTGGATCGAGGATGTGCTTTCCGGAAAGATCAACACTGAAGATGATGACAACGAAGAGGAAGATGATGACGGCAATAACGACAATGATGATGATGACGACGATGATGATGATGATTCTGATGATGAGGATAACGATGACAGCGATGATGACGACGACGATGATGAATAACTCCAGACCTGGGTGCATCTGATGAGAACGACATCACAACTACCCCCTACAGTACAGACAACCCAAGGGGTCAGCAAGCAGCGGTGCCCACACCCAGCCGGTTCTTTTCCTTTCTCCAGCATCTTTTTCTAGTTGTTTCTTGGCAGAAGTGGTACATTTCAGTGAACGCCTTCCCAAACCCAGCAGTCCCACTCAGCAGGGGAGGGGGGGGGGGGATTCCCATGCTGACTTCTTTTAAGCATTGGGGAGCAAACAGCTCTTGTTCTTTGCTAGAGCATGGGGGGGGTCATGGAATTCTGGGAGTCTGGGGATCATATCTCCTGACACCTCTACTCAAGTTTACTTACTGTCTTTGATTCTGGCAGTGACAGAACGGACAGCTTGCTATTAGTTCACAAGCAGAGAGAGGAATTCTAACCAGAGCCTGGGAAAGACACGTGATTATTCAAATCAGTCCCCAAACCCAGAATCTCTCGGGGAATCCAAGCCTTTAGATGGCAATTAGAATCCTTGAAATGTGTGGACATCACCATTATTTCTAGAATATTAGGATGCTGTGTGGGGGTCAGTTAGTTCTCTGAGCGTCCCAACAGTTGGGCAAGCCTCTTATATCACCAGCAGGGAGCGTAGGGAGAGGCTGAAGGTTGAAGGTTTTTCATTTTTCTGAGGGAGACAGTTTGGGTCTCTGAAAGAGTTTGCTGGCTGCCTCCTGTGATCTGGGAACTGAATGCCCCTTCTCTGTCGCTGCTAGTGAGCTGTCCCATTCTGAGTTAGAATTGCTTTATCCAATGGTCAATTAACTCTCCATTCATCAGCCCTCCGCAGCTGACCAGGGCAGCGATAATTAGAGTTCACGATGCCCTGAGGCCAAGAGGGAAAAAAAATCCCCAAGTGCCTTTTGAATTGTCTGAAAGTAACATTGTGCTTGGTAGTTTTCGTTGCTAAGTAAGTGTTCTAATTTATTTTCAAACTCTGTTAACGTGGAGAACACTCTGTGTGGCTTTGTTTCTGAAACTGGGGCAGTCCTTTTATGGAATAGTAATAAACCAACAGACATTAAACTTGTGTTTTGAAAAGATCGAGGCTGTCTTGATAATCCTACGCTGGCCTTTCAGAGTTTGCTTGTTTTTGCTGGGTTCCAGTTCTAGCCCTCTGCTCCTCTGTCTGCCCTTCCACAACCAGCACTTCACAGGGTCTCTCCGTTCACGTCTCCAGTCACTATCATGTGTGTCATCATCAGGTACCACCTGTGTGCTCATGACCTCCACTAAGGGTCTCTAACCTTGATCTTCAGGCTCTGACCACTGGCACGCAAGCTGAGAACTTCAACTCAACACAACAAAGCCTGAACCCACTCTCGTTTCCCTCCCTCAACACTGGTCCTTTTCATGAAGTCCCAGCTTTGATGAGTGCTTTTACTAGCTCTGTAATTGTGTAGGTGACTGAAAGTGCTCCCATGCTATGAGGCACACCTGTGGTCACAGCATGTCTCATTCAAATGACAACACGTTGCACAGCTGTGCTTCTACTAGATACAAGCTTCAAGAGACAAGCCACGTCCTTATCTCTGTACTCCAAGCACTTGGTGCTTTGCCTGTCACTAAGCAGATCCTACTTATTTAGTCAATGTGTGCATAACTGGCCAGTCAAAGCAGCGGTCATTGCCTACCCAGTGTGTTGGGTAGCGTATCACGTGCCCCACACTGTAATAGGTAGCTTTTGTTGCCATAGCAAAATACTCGAGAGAAACAACCTAAAAGAAGGGATTTCACATCAGCTCACAGTTTCAGTATTAATCTTTAGTTTTAGTTCTGCTGTCTCCATTGCCTGGGGCTGGAGTTAAGGAAGAATTTCACGGTGGCAGCATTTATAGCAGAGGAAACTGCTGGCCTCGCTGCATCAGGAACCCTAGAGAAAGAGGGAGGGACCAGGATTCCAAGCTATCCTCTAGTGCCCCTCCCTCTGGTGACCTACTTTCCCACCTCATAATAGTCCACACACCTATGAACTCATCAATGGACTAAGACGGGTTAGTACCCTCGTGATCCAGTCACCTCTCAAAGCCCCACCTGTGAACTTTCAATCTTTGATGATATTCACATCTGTCTTACAACAGAAAGCCCCAGTCTGGGAGGTTTAAGCAACAAAAGTCTGCTTTCCCAGAGTTTAGTCCCATGTCAAGTTACCAGCTGTGTTGGTTCCTGCTGAGGCCTCTTTTCCTGGCTTCTCATCTTGTTTGCACATGGAAGATAGAGATAGATAGATAAAAGATAGATAGATAGATAGATAGATAGATAGATAGATGATAGATAGATAGATGATAGATAGATGATAAATAGATAGATAGATAGATAGATAGATAGATAGATAGATAGATAGATAGATGATAGATGGGAGCTCTGATTCTCTTCTAGAAGGACACCTGTCCTATCAAACTAAGGTCTCGCCAACATGACTTTGACTTTGTCACCTGAAAGGGCCTTGTCATCAAATGCAGTTATATCAGAAGCCAACACTTCCTCATGATCTTGGGGGTGCCCAGTTCAGTCTAGAATGCAGGGCCCCAATATAATTTTCTACCCTCACAAAACTAAGCAGGCTGTGCTGTGTGTTCCTCCCACCCAGGCCCAGTCACACTTCAAGCAAACTCTTGGGGAAGTGATTGTCCCAAGAAGTCTCTCACGCTGAACTCAGAAGTAGCCAAGGAATGGGGATCTGATGGGAACGCAGTCTGTTTCTCAGTCTAGTGCTGTTCTCAGAGACCTAGAAACATGCGAATCTGAAACTGTGCTCTGGTATTCCTGTTTTAGCATCCCTGGGAGCCAGCTGCTTCTGCCTGGACAGTTCAGTGAGCAGCCTGAACCCTCTGAGCTGATCCATATGGAGTGTTTTGTTCCATGACCAGAGCATGACATTGAGTGCTTTACATATGTGACCGCAGCTAATCCTTAGAGCAGATTAGGAGATGCGTCTGGTTATTGTCCTTAATACAGAAGGACACAGAGGGCTCAAGGATTGCACAAACACTTTGAAGGGACATAGATACAACTGTAGTTGCGACTTAAAAGGATTGACATTACAGATCAAAACACTGCATTCCTTTTCCCCCAGAGCGTGTCTGAAGAGACAGACTCACACGAATTTCCCGCAACTGATTTTATTGCTTGGATGAATCCGTTTAACTTCCCATGCCCAGTTCATAATCAACTCAAATGACACTAGAAATGTGGACTAATTAAAAACACAAGATCTGCTATTCTGCTAAAAGGAAAGAAAAAAGAAAGAGGAAGATTCAATGTAGAATCTGGAACAAAGAATCCTTTTCAGTGTAAGTCAATTAAATGCCATCTTAGGCTTGAAAAGCGCTTGTCTTTTCTAGGAGAGATTGTGGCCTCTCCAGTCTCCATATTTGTCACCCTGAGAGGAGTCACTGTCATGTTGTGTGCAGACTACATGCCATCTTGCTTTCATTGCATGGGTTCCTCACCTATAGGTCTGATAGCAACCTTAGGGGAGAGACATGTTTACTCATTTCTCCTCTGCCCAAGTTTGGTATGCAAGTAATAAATTTCAAGACAACTTTGCAAGCATGATACACATCGACTTTAATGGCGAGTACCTCTATTAAGAATATACAAAATAAACCTAGTGATGATTGAAGGGGACTCTTAACCAAAGAGCTTTGGCAGCATGGTATCTGTTGCCTGGATTGGCTTAGGAGAGTCATCTACTACAGAAACAGGACCGTACGATCCCCTTGGCTCCGTGAGGATATTTGTGTGCACGATGATCTTTTCCCTCATGCAAGGGACACAGCCGCAGCCTGGGAACGAGCATGGAAGTACCATGCTGTCTGGGGATGGAATGGCCACAACCACCTCGTAGACCTAAATATTTGCAAGACGGATTAAGAGGAATCTTTAGAATCAATGCGATATTTTTACAATCTGAAATCTTTAGCGATAACTTCAAGTCTGTGGGGATAACTCTGGGACCCCCATCGGCCCCTAACACACCTAAATAATCACATGTGATTGATTAGTTTGCCGTCAGTGCTTTGGCGTTGAGTGTACTTTGTGCACTCACTCACTCACTCACTCACTCACTCACTTACTCATTAAAAAGTCAGACTTTTTAAATAGTCTATACATCAATAGACCCCTAACCTTCATTGCACGTAGATTAGGGAAGGTAAGAATGAGCAAGTAGCTGAACAGAGAAACAATAGAGGAAAAATGTTTGAAGTGCCCAGCTTCAGTTCTGAAAATGCATCTTCCTATTTCCTGCAATATGAAATCTGAGACCACAGAAACACATTTGGACATGGACCCAGGCAGCAGAGCCAAAAGCCAACTATCATTTTGGATATCCACGGCGACATGAGCCTGGGTAACGAGAGGATGTTCGCACACCATCCTGGCACTAACGGGAACTACCCTGTCTGTGCCGTCTACCGCCAGTCGGTCCAGCCTCTTGCTCTTGGACTTTACCTACTGTTGTCCTGATGCTCATTACATTGCTTTCTCAAGATTCCTCCACGCTCTGCAGCTACAGCCGTTGGCCCCTGTCTGCATGTGGCTTTAATTTGTTCCCCCAGCAGGGTTTGCTTGTGAACTTCTGAACTGTGAACATCTGGGCTGCTGGCCCAAGGAAATAGCTTATCATTAATCTATACGATAAGTATCTTCGAATCAATTGCTTTCTCTGATCCCCATCCATGCAACTGGCAGGAATTTGTGCGCTATCAACATTCCAGGCAAGTGAAGGGTAGCTGATGCAGAGCAGCAAGCGTCAACATTTTTCATCAAATAATCTAGTTCCCTCATCTCAATAATTTAAAACCAATTACCAAACACAATTGACTGCGTGCCTCTCACCCCTATCCACAGTGTGATGTTTTTTTCCTCTACTTTCCTGTCTCGAACATGGTTTTTTACTCGATTTACTCGAGAAGTTGGCTTCCTCTCTGGGTTTTAGAGCAGCCTCAGGATTTCATCTTTCACTCTGTATTCATTTAGACTTTTTCTCCCCATAAATTGGCCAGTGATGGTTCATGGTCATCACAGTGATCATCGCCCTTCACTGCCCTTCCTCCTCTCTCATACTCCACTTGATTTTCATACAAACGCGAAGCTGCAGAAAATCAAATCAAGATTAAAAAAAAATGTTCCCTGAAAAGATAGCAGAGCTTAAACCTGATCTAGTCACATCAGAAAGGGAGACAATATGCAACTTGGGGTCTCAATTCATCTTCCAAGTTTTTAGCATACCTAATGTGTAAAATGTTTTATAGTGAATTAGAAAGGAATGAGGGCACTGATAGGGGACCCGAGAAAAAACCCAAATAACATTAGCTACTAGGTACTACGTGTGGCACTGGTCACATATACATCATGTGTAAACATACTAATAATAACAATAATGCTATTATTTCAAAATTTTTAAAGAGGAAGACCCGAGAGAAACTGGGGTAACTAATGTCATTGCAGAAGACAAGACCAGATTTGCAATGTGAGGGAGAAAACTGTCAATCATGGCTTCTGATTTCTCTCCTGGGTATGTTAGCCAGTGGCATGTGCAAACAACAGAAAGACCAAATGGCCTACCATGGACTAGAGTCACCTTCCTGCAAGAGATAAATTTTTAATGACAAATTATATAGGAAAAATGTGTTCATAACACTGGACATACTCAACAAACAACAGTGTCCCTTTGATTGTGGCAGCTTACTGCTCTGAGCTTCCGGTCAGTGGTAGACACCAACCCTGTCACCAGCATCAAGAAGAGAGGGCATTTCACAAAACAAACCTTAGAGAAACAATGGGACTTGTGTACATGGCTATGAGTCATGCAATTCATTCAGCTACATATTCAGAAATGTCCAGTCAGAGCATGGGACTCAACCAATGTGGTGGTGTGCATTGAAGCATCATCATTGTCTTAGGGTTCTACTGCTGTGAAGAGGCACCATGACCATGGCAATTTTCATAAAGGAAAAACATTTAACTGGGGTGGCTTGCAGTTTCAGAGGTCTCCAGTCCATTACTATGGAGGCGTGCAGGCAGACATGATGCTGGAGA